AGTGATGACTGACATCTCGGTTGGTCTAACTTGGAGGTCTGGGCGGAAGAGTGCCTACCACATAGGCTAAACTGTCTTGCTTTAATGTTTGGAAACTAACGCTGCAGGATTCGTAGTCAATGGAGAGGGGCAGTAGCCTTCTCTGTGATTATGAGAGTCCATATTACACTATTAGCATGAGTATTTCTTGTTGAACATGTCTTCTAATGAAATTTCTAGTTCCTCAGAAATGGCGAGACGATAATGTCACAATCTCTCTGAGGGCGCGGGGAGAGAACATGAGGATAGAAAGACACTGCTTCCTATCTAACAAACTACCTCATAAGTGGGGTTTAGTTCTTGTCATTAGATTTTTTGATTTATTTATTGCTATTGTCATTATAATGTCAAGGGAGCATTCCTGATGGCTTCCTCTATCTTGCATCTGCTACTACTGGCATGCAAAACAGAAAGCAGCTAGGACTCTGGCTTTTAGTTAATTACTTCATAAGGCATAAGGATTCAAGATAAACCATGGTCTTCACAGCCACCTTGAGGACACATGGTCCCCAGTTTTTTAATTGAAAACTACACTGGAACAATCCTGCTGCACTGACTGTATGTTGTGCTTACTGTTAGCAGATAAGTTTTATTTAAGTTTTAAATTGTTTTAAATAAAAGCTATAGCTATGTAACTGCAGAGTTTATAACTATATTATGATGTCTCCTTATTTCTCTCCCACGCTGACAAAAATAGACAAGTGAGGGGTGCCATCTCTAAACCTAACCTGAAATAAAAACCTCCTCATGTGACACAGTCTCATAGTACTCACAGCAAAGGCTCCTCCTGCCAGTTCTCCATCTTAAACCGTCAAAATCTAAGGCAGCAATTTCCAGGGGAACCATGGGCTTTGTTTTCTAAACACCCTCCTATCCCTGCTGTGATACAAATTCAGTAATAATGTTCTTGGCAACTTGTGGATGGGCACCTTAAAAGACAAGGTAAGTAGATACCAATGATCACGGTCTGTAGAAGTTTTCCAATGAATTTTGTGACCTTCTGTTTTACTAATTCCCCCGCCTCCTCCCTCAAACACGCCGACTTTCCTAGTCTAAGTTTCAAAGTTTCAGTTATGGGCTGAAAAACATACATATATATTAGTAGACCTGGAATACTTTTACCTGGAATTCAAAATTTGCTCAAGTAATTGTCCTCCCTCCTCATACTAGGCCCATATCATTACCCAAATTAGTTTTTGAAATTGTGCTGCCTCTCAGTGGGCGCTTGAATGAGAATTTGATGATGATGGAAAGCTCCTGTCATTGTCCTGTTGTTTGGGAAGCTCATTAGGTGAGATACAGATAGCGAAGTGATCCACTTGTTTTATGGGCTTCTAGAAATGATAACTTAGAAGATATAAAAACAAGTAACTGCATCTAGACAATTTAAAGCCAGTAGCACTACAATAATTAAAAGATCTTTCTAAACTGTATTGGTAGAACAGGCAAAACCTCTATAATCCACTTATCTGGGGAAGCAATCAGACAATAAAAACTGAGGCATTTTAGGGACTAATAAAGCTGTGGAATCTAATGACTATAATAAATCTTTAGCTGCAGTTATTCCAGAACAAATTCCCTTGCAGTAAAAAGTATTCTACAGGGTTTTCTGTCTGAAATGACTGTTGGTTGGCTAGATGATCATAAGAAACAATTGCAGAACAGTAATTTTATTTTTGGCATGTATTTCCATCATTCACCTCTCCCTTTCATCATGAAGTCTTTTGGCTTCATTCAAAGGCTAGAATCAAGCAACCCTTTGACAAGAGTGTTCAGCATGGTGTTATGCAGCAGTTTTGGACTTTGGGAACTACACTTCTATGAAGTACAACACTGGTCATTCTGCCCACAGCTCATATTTGATGCATGCTACAGTTAAATATAGATGTAAATCAATAGGTAGCATGTGTACCCGTAAAAGTAGAGCTTGCAAGGGTGGAACTCAGCCCACCTAACTTGAGGTGACAATGCTGGAGGTGAGCTAAGCACGTAAGCTCTTTCTACAGCCAATGGAGCTCTGGTTAAGGTTCTCAATGGCGTTTAGGGGACAACCCATCTCACCCCACAGCAAAAACCTGTATTTAGCCAGAAGAATAGCATTTTAGCCTCCACAGGTTATACAGGTTAGATCTCTACTGGCACCACAGTGGAATCCTACATATCTTCTTCAGAGGTAAATACCTAGAGTAAACAGAGGTGAATGTTGACCCTGGTATCACAATGACCACTGTGATGGTCAGGCCACTGTGGAATGACATTCTCCTAAGCCTGGCTTATGTATACCTCTGTCCCTGATGCAACACAACTGAGTGCTCCAACCAAATGACATTCATTTTCACTTTCATGTTTTATCAGTTTTGGAAAGTGAAAATTATTATTGTCATTACCTACGCTGATGTTCAGTGTATGAAAGAAACATATTCTTTGCAGAAAATGATTGTTCCAGTTTTTATATCTATTCTTTACCAATATAAATGAATATTCAATATATGCCAATATAAGCCAAAGCAGAAAAATGAAGCTCCTTAATTAAATTTAAATTTTATTAGCCTATGTGATTGAAAACAACTAAAACCACTTCATATGGAAAGACGTCTTACAGATGTGGTGTATATGCCCTGGATTGTACTACCTGTGAAACATTTTAAAGAATTATTTCTCAGATTCACCTGAAACATCCATCCCATTTAAATTACTTGTTTAAGGATAAAGTCTGATCACATTTTTATGGAGAAGACAAAAAAATCCTTCTCAATTAAATATAACAGAGAAAACTTGAAGTAATAGTACACTACAAACGAGTTTAGTTTTGGTTTTGTTTCTTCAGAGGAGTTTCCAGAGGAGCTTCTGTTAATATAGAAGAAGTTTCAGTGAGACTTTTAATAAACTTAATGAAATATTATTAAAAACTGAAATTTACAGAATTTTTAAGATATTTTGCTAACAAAGTACTTCGAAGACTGCAGCAGTGAAAAATGTTAATGTTGTAAGATCCACTCAAAGCTGTGAATAGTTTCTGCACAGGCAGCCTTTCGGAGCTTGTATGTGCAAATATCTAAAAACAGATGCAGACTTGCACATACATCTCTGTGCACTGTCAGAATCATAAGCAATCCCTAAACCCAACCCAAATATGAATTTTCAAATTTCCAACTACTTAGATTTCTGAGTTTTCTATATATATCAGATAGTCACAGTACAGTTTTTTTTTTCAATACATCTCCCATCAATTTACTGCTGCATCTTATTAGGGTAACTTCAAATAAACCAATTCAACAGTACTTTAAACCACTTTCTATGACTAGGATATCTACAGCTAGACAATTTTATTGAAAGTGAAAACTTAAACAGTTCAAACTATGAAGACTTAAACAGTTCAACAAAATTCAACTTGTATGAAAACCACACAAGCAGTTTAGCTACGAACACATTTCATAAAACATACAGGGTTGTTTTTCCCTGTAAGATGCAAAATGTTATCAATTTAACCTGGAAAACAAAACCAGCCCTTTTTCCAATTTATAGAAGTCCTATAATCTGCAATGGCAGGACTCAGCAGAAACATTTATTTAGTTGCTCAGTGTTTAAAAAGAAACAAAAACACACAGCACTTGGGGTGCAAAAGGAAAGTGGCTCCACCTTGTCATACTTTCAAGTCGTAATGCTGTCTAACAGTTCTGGTTAATAATGTTGCATAATAGTAAATCTGGACATTTTCATTTTCTTAAAAAAGCTAGTATTTTTAGCTATGAATGCTTTTTATCCGTACTGGTTGGCTAGTGTCTCTCATTTTATTCTACTGTTCTGGTCAATAAAACTAGCACATAATGGTGGTTTTTTTCTACTATCAAGTATGTAAGCCCAGTGCAGTAAGGTATTTCCTGCTATATCTATCTTTTTATAAATGGAAATGTGGATATAATTGCCTTGCTTTCCAAGTAAACTGGCTAATGGTATATTTACTTTTTAAATGTAATGCTTACATTTGACATATTTAATACTTAAATGTTTAAAGTTTGCCAGTCCTAGAAACTTATATTTAAAATACAAATATACAAAACCAAAACCAATAAACCTTAGCAAAAGATCGTAAAAGTAGCATTGCGAAGTACTCAAATACAAAATAACAGCCACACAGAAAAATGGAAACACAGAATGAAAAAGGAGCGGCAGACACCAGCAGAGTCGCTGAATCCCTTTTCCTCCATCTGGTAGTAGTGATGGAGCTACTTAGCAGGCACTACTCTGCAGGCCATGCCCGAGCGAAAACGATGGGAGGTACAGGCCCTGAGGCTTTTGTGTATTGCCAGCTGTAGCGATGTGGCTAGGGACAGACACAAACCTCGACCCCAACGAAGGAGGTTGTGCAAGCTTCACACAGTGATAGGGAATGCGCGGGGCCAGCACCAACGTCAGCGCAGGGAGAACAGATTGACAGTGCTCTTGGCACCACTCACTTCTTTTCCACCAAACCTGGCTCTGTATGCTCTGACCTAGCCTAAGGCAGACAGAAACCCCTACTGGGTGAACATGGAGCTGAGGAGGACTGATGTTAGTGCCACCTGTCTCCCCAGGCTTAGCACAGCAAGCAGTGCTGAACCCGGCTTTTCAGGCTGGGCAGCCCAGGGTGCCTCTCATCCACAAACACCCGAGGAGCCTGGTGAAGCTGTGACCTCCGTAGTCCTAAACTAGGAGTACAACACTGAACATTTTACTCCCGAAACAGCAGAGGTTTTTAACAGCAGCCTGTGAGCGTGGAAGAGGGGAATACATAGCTGTCAGCTTTGGAAAGGACTGCGTGTTTACTTACAAAAGCAGATGCACTCTGGATTTATTCAACTCCAGTTTATCTACATGACGTACAGGAGCTAAGCTTCAATACTATAATCTGATTTAAATCAGTCCTCCCAGAAAGCATGCTTCTGAATTTCAGAAGAACAGAATGTTATTTTCAGACTTACCTTTTTCTGTTTTGTCTTGTTCAGTTTCTTTTTCACTTTTCCCTAGAATATTAAAAATATAATTTCAATGAAATAAATTTATCTTAATGGTTTATGATAAGAAAGAGATACAATAAAATTACAGCTTATACTCAAAAGATAATTGGGCCAACAGGACTTTTTTGTTTCATTTTATTAAGTAACCAGAGATTGCTGTCTGAACTATAGTTACAAAAAAGGTCTTCCTCTGCAGATGCTTCAAATATTACATAATTGCGTCTGTCACAAAATATTTGATAAGCTCCCCTTTAGATATTTGGTAGATTTTAGTGATACACACGATGCAAGCTATTTTGCAAGAAAAAAAAATTGTTCACTAATTTAAAGTTCTTGGGAACACTAGCTTAATATATATATATATATAGCCGATTAAAATGTAAAAAACAGGAAAATCAATTGGGAACCTACGTCTCATTTTCAGCAGTGACTTGGGCACTTGGAAGCTTTTGTCTTACTTCAGCTTTTAAAATAATTTGACCCCGCTGTTTCGTAAACATCTGAATGCACAGGTAACTTAAATAAGCACAAGACAGTCTGTAGCAAAAGAGAGACTACATTGTGTACCAAAATCATGTATGTGTATATTGTGAAGGTGGTACCTACAGAGACAGGCTTCTCCTCTCCTCTTTTTCTCCTCTCTCAACACTTTTTGATCCTTCCCTACTCTAACATTTAAAGCATCTTGCCTCACAATTCTAACATTACCATTCCATTTCCAATTTCGTCCCAATAAGCTTCCAATATTGCCCCCCAATAAACTTAATAGAGAATACTAAAAAGAGAGGTCAGTTGGCTTGTTAGCTAGTTATTTTCCTCTCTAACATACACTCTTCAATTTTGAGATATTCTTATATATAGAAAAAACATTTTCTTTAATTTCTAAGTCAATTAGAGAAATCTTGACAGAATACTCAGTCTTCACAGTTTTTTAAATCGACTGCTCAGAGGCAATATATTGTGAATAAAATACACCATGTAAAAATGCTGAAAAACATTTCTTTTTCCATGGAGAAACTAGGTTACACGCACACATGAAATCAAACTATTTCACATTCTAATTTCACCCTTCACTACAAGCTGACAACTGCTACTACTGAACATGCAGACAGTATGACTGATTTTTATATTCAGCACAAGGCAGAATGAGTATTAACTTGATTAGGATATGGTAAATTAAATAAATATGGTCACATTGAAAGTCATTCACCTCTTCAACTACATCATAAAATCCAGATTGTCAATTAAATTGAAAGAAACGACAAAAGGATCTATAGAGTCAGTTACATACTATGGGATAACTTGGAGAAGGAATATTATAACAGTATATTAATGAAAGCATTGTGCAGTACTTTCTAAAATACTGGCTTTTTTGGTTTTGTTTTTTTGCACATACCACACAATAAGTAAAATGGTTATGTCCACCTCTATGTCACCAGAAATACAGTACTTTAAAAAGAGCAATAACGCAGCTCCAGGTGAGACACAAAATAGTTTATATACTCATCTTTCTATTATTTTTACCAACTCAAAGCACAAGAACAATGCATTACAGGAGAGTAAACCATGATACAGCATGCTACTTAGCCACCCATTTTCCCTGTATCTTTTCCATTTTCAGCAACACTGATATTCTCACCTGACCTCTTCTCTCTGATTCCCTCTAGGTCACTCAGTGACCCTCTTCCACCCATCTTGGACATCCATGTTATTTCTGCAACTTCTTTTCCATCACAGAGACGAACAAGGTATGAGCTCATCACTCTAAAGCCTGCTCCTATCTCCCGTTTCTTGTCCAGCTTCACATTTCTTTATTACTGAGGCTCATGCAACATACAACCTACAGTTCTCTATACCCATTTATCTACTAGGATCAGTTCTCCAAACTCTCTCTCAGAATTTTTTCAACCTGTAGTCTGCTAAATTAGCTGCCAGTGATTTCACCAAAGCCTCTCAACGATCTTTAGATACTCCAGCTTCTCCTTCTAGGTTGCTGCTTTTGAAATGCATCACAACTTGACCTTGTTAGCTCTGAAGATCTTGTTTCTCTCGGCTCTCACCATACTTAACTAAGAATTCACTTCAGCATCGTATTCAGCACATATTGCTTTATTCCCTCCACACTGATCCCTAGCTTACTTTGATAGTGCAAATGGTTTTTATTATGCTATTTCTGACAAAGGTTTCAAAATATGCTGTCTCAAAGACAGGGATATGATAGTAAATCTTGAGACTATTTTATCATCAACTTAAATCAATCGTAGCTCAAACAAAAAAACATCTTCTTAGCTCTTCAAACCACTGCCATCCTTTACTCAACTTCTCTGTTCCCAGCAAAACAAATCTAGGTCAAAATCATAGACAAAACCGTTTTAACCAATCACTGTAAGCTAGGACTGATATCACTGTGTAACATATGCACCAGGTATTCCCAAGAAGGTTTCTACTATAAAGAATACATTTATTTTTTGTATTATGTCTAAATATTTGTGAGTGCATGTGACAATGACCCGGTCACAACTAAAATGTATTTCATACCTTGTAGATTTTACATGAATCCCAATCAATTATATAAATATACAATACAATGTTATTTACATATACATAATTTTTGAAACACGTAAAATTGCACAATGATATTGAGTAAAAATATGACATTTTTCAGTATCTTTCCAATATCCAGTGTTATCCATTTTCTTTACTTCTTAGAAAGAACAGTGTCATGATATGATACCTTTTCAGATACTGAGAATGTGAAAAAGTCACTTAAAATTGTAGTAAATTTTCAATATTAAAATAAAACTTTAGTATCCTGTTATTTAAAATTTTGCTTTACTTATTGGTATTTCTTCCCGTGATTTCCAAAAAAGCAACTGAATCCAGGATTTCATAGATTTGCTGAGATATAGCAAGAAGCCATGTAGCAATGTGAAAATATAAAGAAAGATGTAATCTTTTGACTTTTTCTTAAACTGCAGTTGTTATTCAGCAATATTTCATCATAAAAATATGGAGTTGTTTGAAAACTGAAAAGGTCAAGGAAGATTTTTGTTTTCAAACAGAGAACTGCACAGACACAACACCCTTGCTAGACTTCTGATTTAAACTATGGACCATAACCTAGAATATTTCTCTGTGAAAGGTAGGTATCATACTACCCACACACAATCCCCTTTGTTAAAGAGTGAGATATCATCCATTTTAAGTTACAAATAGAAATGACGTATCATGGGCAAAATTCAGGCCGAACTGGTTGCAGAATAGCTAATACTCCAAAAGAAGAAACACAACAATTATAAAAGACACAGACCTTAGAGTAATGCCCATTTCCTTCACAAAATACCACACAGAAATAAAAATTACTTCTACTTGCTACATTTCTTCCTCCTTGTAAATAATACTTTCAAATATATTTTTAAACATTCAAAATTATTACCTTGAAAAATAATAATATTAATTAGTGGCTGAGGCAAATGTTTATCCCCGTAGTTAACATCGACCACATTTTGGAAAAAATAACGACACTAGAAAGACAAAGATATTCTTCTGTGTTTTATTGCAGCCAAACATTAAAACAGATTAAATATACATTTTTTTAATAGTCCTTTTGACCTTGCTCAGCTTGGCATATTTTTGTAAACATGAAGCACGTAAAATCACGTACCCACTTACAAAATACTTAAAATTTGATCACAGCATAATATACTCTCACAGTCCCGTAATTCTACAAATAGGCTGCCACTGTTATATAAAAAGTCCTCCATTCACCATTCTAAAATTATTCCCGAGCTTCCTCACAAAATATGGCTTTGTAAAAATTATTGCTCTGCAATTCACAATCACAAGTAATTTCACTAGAATATCCCATCCCAAACCACATCACAGTCTAAGAGTATTATTGCTTTCCTGAAAAATCTAAAGAAATCACTTTGGGACATCTTCTGTGTTTGTTGATCAGATGTAACACTCACTTATGTGGAGTCTTACTGAAATCCCAGACAAAAAAAGGCAAGCATATATGATGCCCCTTTCACTAGAAACGTAAGCAGCTAAAAACCTGACTGCAAAACATTGTTACAGAAATTTAAAATCTCCCTGTCAACCAAAAGGCAACCACTGTTAGGGTTACCAAATTGATTTTTCTTCTTAAAAATTTATCTTATTTTATTTCTTCTAAGCTCCCATATCAGGCTTGGCAATTTCCTAAAACGACAGCAATTATTCCTGAGCCAAAAAGGAACACATGCAAAATGCCAAAGAATAAAATATGTCTTCGTAATTGTGGAACAGCAGCACAGAACAGGTAAAAAGTACACCTGTTATATTAAAATTCTAAATCACTCAAAGTCTAAATTCCAGACGTACCATTTACAAGAGCATTTATGATTGTAGTCTTAAATTTTGATACCCTATTTTTCTTAAGGTTGAATTTCCAAAGCTTTTTTTTTTTTAATAAAATTTACAAGTCAAGTATTTGTGCAAATTTGACTTTTTTAATAAATCACTGAATATAAAGCTTACTAAATCCAGCTTTGAGATCATTATATTGGTAGCCAAATTAGAAGAATTTTACTGAACTCAACCTGATTCCAGCAACCCAGTTTTGTTGCAATCTACACTGACTTCCTGCCAGGCTATTACATAGTTTCCAGACATTTTTGCTTTAAAAATCGAATGTGCATAAATAAAAAGTTCTAATTCACACATAAAGGGTTTCTGAAAAAAGTAATATAGTAATCTGCCCTTTTAGTAGTATGAATTAAACATATGCATTTTGCATCTTGTTAGACTCTTAAAAATCACCTGAAATTTATGTAGTGTAACTGTTGACATAACATCAGTGCAAAGAGATAGAAATCTAACTTCACAGCATAGTGTGTGCCTGCTTAGTGTTTTCAACAAAACGCAGTTAGGCTGTATGCTATATCAGCAGTTATAAAACACTTAAAAATTCATACTATTATATGTTTCATTTGACCAAACTGCTCTGTACATACTGTATGAAT